CATCAGTCTTTGGTTTCCAATAGGGAAAGGAATACAAATGTGTCTGGCACAGTACCTAAATGGAAGTAATGCAGTCTTCTACTTCATAGATATCAAGGGAATATTCGACAGAGCCTCCCCTACTGCAATCCTCCTAGGATTTAAGAGCAAGCTTCTGCTATGGATAAAGGATTATCTGTCTTTGAGAAGAGCAAAAGTGTGGTATCAAGGCACCTACAGTAATTATGGTGAACTCGAGTTAGGAACTCCACAAGGAGGAGTTTTGTCCCCTTCACTATTAACATATAAATTCTCTTTACAAGCATAACAGCGAGTTAGGAGACCTATGCAGCATCATATCCTATGTTGATGACATTCTCATTCAGGTCTTTGATAGAGGGAAATATATTCTTCAGATATTTAGCAAAAGGTACGCTTCCGTTGGACTCATAATCAACCCTATCAAGGATAAATATATATACAGATCTCATAAATTGCCTTACAATCCAAGGTTAGGTGGACAAGTTATTTTAAAAACTTACACCCATAAGTATTTTTGTGTTGTGATGATCGCTCCCACCTCATGTCCCACAACTCTCACCACTCAGGAAATTATCCAAAACATGAGGAAACGTTGCTTGGAGCAAGGGATTGTGTACCAATGACATTGCTTTTAAGAAAGTCTGTTGCTTGATGAGCGTTAATGCAATCAAAAAGGTGTGAGGCAACCGCACCTAGCTATAGTGTACAGACTTTCTGAGTATAGTCCAGAAAACATCGTAAATATCATTGTCATTCACCAAAGTTCTAGCCTATCAGAGCAGGGCATACAAGGGTCACGATACTGGATACCCTCTCATATAGGAATATCAACCTGTGACAAGGTAGATCAATTAGCAAAACTAGCACTTTCCCATGAAGAGCCATACTATGCAGTATCTCTTAAAGGGACGAGGTAACTTAGAGAGAGGAGGAGAGGAGAGAGAGAGAGAGGAGAAAAAGAGAGAGGGGGGAGGGAAGTAGAGAGAGAGAGAGAGAGGAGAAATGAGAGATAGAGATAGATAGATAGATAGATATATCTTATTTATCAAAAGCCAGAGTAAGATGCTACGGAATTTATCCAAACTGCCTTTGCTTATATTCATGTAAAGGGCTGTCAATCAAACAATAGTTTACATGCCCGAAGGGTTGTGTCAATAATATATTATAGTCCTAATTATATTGAAGACCAGTATTATGATAAAATAATTATAATCAATAAGTGCTGGTCTCTGGACAGTGCTATTTGATCGATAGCATGCAGTTTTAGAGCAACAAAGTAATGTGTAAGATTATGCGACTTGGGCGCCTTGCACATCCTGCAGTGGTGATACATAACTGGCTTTGCCTCAAACTGCATCCTGTACTAATGTATTGTGTAGTGATATCCTATGCGTAACCTGCTTAGTGTCTCCGAGACAATCCATTAGAGACATTTTATGGTTTGACCATATCAGATGTCTCTACATTTTTTTATAATGAAAGATTGCACCATGTTCATTTTTCTTCTTTTTCGGTAGTCCATCCCTGGCCCTCATAATCTAGACGACAATTGAAAACACCTTTTTTCATTTATTCAAAATGTATTTTTTGTCTCAATAAACGCGTCAAAGTAAAAAAAAGTCTCACTCTCGAGCAGGCTTGCTGACTCGCAGCCTCCCCGAACACCAAAACACTGGGCAGTCTTCGAACCAGCATTAGTCACAAGAAAATCGAGCATCTGTACAAGCAACACTGGGGGAAGCTTTAAGAAAAGAAAGAAAACAAGAAGAACAACGCAAAGAAACTCGAGGAGTCAGGAGTCCCCCCCCCGTTCCACTCTCAGCTCCAATGGCGCTGAAGGTCGTAATAACAACCACACAGAAAGAGCAGAACATAGCAAGATAGAGGTTTCGTTAGAGTTTTATAAGGAAAGAAAAGAAGAAAAAAAAAGAAGTACGTCCTGCGCCAAAACTTTGACACAAGGACCTTTAATATCACAAGTTGACATTCAGAAAACAAATGCAGAAGACATCTTAGAACCCTCTCGGCGGTTTGAAAACAATCAAGTGTTAAAGGCTCGCAAAACTATTTTTAGACATCGGATCCTTCCCAAGCATGTGTGTTTCTAAACACAAACGACTACAGGAGTGACCAGGGTCTGAAAAGGCACCGCCGACAGCAAGACCGACGGTCTCACCTTGGATGTTTTGATGATACAGAAATGCTCAAAATGGAGAGAAATCTCGATAATTATAAATAAGTGAAACCTCAGAGGTAGATAAAGGAGAGAGAGAGATGGGAGGGGGGGGGGGAGAAGAGAGTGAGAGGGAGGGAGGGAAAGTGAAAAGGAGATAGAGGGAGGGAAAGGAAATTGATATATAGACGAGAGGGGGGTAGAGAGAGATTAAAACAGAAAGAGAGGAAGAGAAAGAGAGATAGATGGATAGATAGATAGATAGATAGGTAGATAAAGAGAAAGAGACAGGAAAGGAGAGAGAGA